GATATAATAGACACTAATGACAAAACCAGAGGAGTTACGGGATAACATAAAAAACATGCTATATGAAGAAAGTAAAAGGTCATTAAAAAGAGGAAAGAAAGGACCCAAACGGATGTCAGCAGTGACTCTGAAACTTGCTACTGATCACACAGAAGCTAGGGCAACTGGAAAAAATAAAGTAGATGAGCTGAACTAAACAGAAAATCTCAAAGGGAAGCTTGAAAAGACAGTGGAAAGTATTACAATGAAATGTGCAAAGACCTAAAGTTAGAAAATCAAAATGCTCAGCATTTCTCAAGAGGAAAGAACTGAAGAAAAATTTAAGTCTCTAGTTCCAACATTGAATTCTAGGGGCAAAATATTGAACGATACAGGAAGCGTCAAAAGAAAATGGAAGGAATACACAGAATCATGGTTCCAAAAGAATTAGTTGACAGTTCAACCATTTCAAGAGGTATCATATGATCAAGAACCAATGATATTGAAGGAAAATGTTCAAAAGCTGCACTGAAGGCATTGGTGAAAACCAAAGCTCCAGGGATTGACAGAATACAAACTGACAGTACTATTAATAAGCTGATGCAGAGAGATTTGGAAGACAGCTAATTTGCAAGAGCGCCTATTTGTGCCCATTCAAAGAAAGGTTACCCAATGGAATGTGGAACGCATCAAACCCTATCATTATCACATGCCAGTCCAATGTTGCTGAAGATGATTAAAAAATGGTTGCGGCAGTGCAATACAGGGAGCTGCCAGCAATTAAAGGCAGATTCAGAAAAGGACGTGGAACTAGGGATAACGCTGCTCGGTTCAAAGCACAGACTATCAGAAACATGTTTATTTGTGCTTTATTGACTCTGCAAAGGCAAGGAATTAGATTGTGTGGGTCATAACAAACTATGGATAACATTGTGAATAATTAGTATTCCAGAATACTTAATTGTGTTCATGGGGAACTATACATACAGAATGAGGGGACACTGAATGGTTTAAAATCAGTAAAGATGTGCACCAGAATTGTATCCTTTCAGCATCCTTATGAAATTTTTTTGCTAAGCAACAATGGGCTCAAATACCATGATTGTGAGGATGTGCAGGCCTGGGCGGTGTTTTGTTCCGTTAGGCCTTAGGGTCACTGTGAGTTGGGACAGACATAATGGCACCTAACAAGAACAAGTGAAGGTCTGTTTCTGGACTCCACTGTTATATCAAATTATTGTCTACCTTCCTGCCAATACCGTAAATCTTGAAACCAGGTACTGTTTTCGCTCTTCTAGGTCCTTCGTATTTACTATAAATTTTAGAATCAGCATGTCGATTTCTTAAGCACTCACTTCACAATTCTGAGTCTTCTGAAGACTTTTCTTGTTATTTTAGCAGGAGTTCAAGGCAGACGCTAAGTAAATGAAGAATAAACATGTATAACTCTCCATATACTCAGTTCGTATTTAGTTTTTTTCTTCAAAGTTTTGTGCTTTTTAGGTCAGAGGTCTTAGCACATTTTTTGACAGAATTATTCCTAAGTCTGTTTCGAAAAGCTGTTATACATTGTATTAAAGAAAACCCCCCACAAAACTCAGTTTCGAATGGTTTGTTACTTGTATAGAGAAGCAGGATTTCTCTAACTACACTTGGTCTTGTACCTGAAACCTTATTCAAACGAACTAACCTAGTAAGTCCTAGTGTTTTCTTTCTTTTTTTTTTTGGGGGGGGG